TCAGAATCCAGCAGTCCGCTGAAGTATTGGATTTTTATAATATAATTATTTGACAATATTTTGTTGGCCAACCACCTACAACAGAGTTGAGCCGAAATACATTATATTCCTATGTTCCGAATTTATTTCGTTCAATCTGTATATTAACACCATGACTTTTATTAGATTTTGTTTTTCAAGTAGAGAAATTGATCAAGATGAACAGAAATACATGGGTCCACAATCAACTATCTCACTGCTTATGTTTGTTAAGATGTTATCTAAATAAGTTGCTGATCTAGTTGTGATTCTAGTCAATCCATTGATATTTATGGTTAAGCCAAAAGTAGAAATTAGATCTGATACAGAATCTGTTTAGTTCATTAGAAGCTTTTTTGAAATCAATGTTGAAATCTCCAATTATTATTTTTTCTAAAAAAATTAGTAGAGCAAAACACCAATAACTTTCCAAATAGGTCTAGAAAAACTTTAAAATTCACATTTCTCGTTCTATACATTGTTACTAAAATAGTTTTAATATCTAATTTCTAATGCACATAATTCACCCTCATATTCACATGATATATCATTTAAGCAAATTGGTCGTATAGAGATTTTATTATCGCTAAAAATAGGAGGAACACCTCCATGTTCCCTTACCTTCCGACAATAAAAAGTTGACAAAAAACACCCATCAAGCTTTATTTTTTCTGAGTCAGGGTTCAGAGAAATATAATATATTGTATCTTTTATTTTTCGATATATATAGATTGAACGAATTTAAAACGGATCATCCAATTTAATATACAGTGCTTTTCAGATAAAACTATCCACCTTAAATAAATTTTGAACCTCTAATTTTTTGGAAAAACGCAAAAACACGTCAGTTAATATTTGAAGAGGGAGACGTTATATCATAAATACACCCATTCACCCCCTGTATCAACCCTTTTTTTTAATTACTTCCCCCTTTTTTATTTTATATTTAGATTCTCCTTTTTGTGTTGATTTCAAAAATGTATAATACCTTTGGCTTGAAGTGATTAGTTTATGAGATAGACAATTTTCCTGTTAACAAGGATACTATCTCTCTCACCTTAAATGACTGTAACAAAATAGGTTGTAGCATAATTTAAACTTTTTAAATACTTAACCTTACTATTTGTAGTACCTTCAAAAACCAAGAAATAAAAAATTCACTTTTTATTAAAGTTTTATCAAAAGTTAAGGATAACCTTTCCGAAGATTTGGTTGTATTTCAACATGATAGAGCTTCTCCACACTTTGCTTTACCTGTGCGATAATTATTAAACGAAACGTTTCTTGGTCCTTGGATACGGTAAAGACGATAGATGATCGATTAACCACCTAGGTCACCGGATTGAACACCCCTAGACTTCTTCTTTAAAGGGTATTTAAAAACAAAAATTTATGCTATTCAACCAGAATCTCTAGATGATATACGACAAAGAATAGAGGATAAATGTCAGCAATTAAATGCAGACGTGTTAAGCAATATCAGAGAAAAATTTCAAAATAGATTATACTATTGTATGGAAGTGAAGGTCAGTCATTTTGATCAATTATTGTAAAAAATGTTAGTAGTGAAATGTTCATTCTAAATGTGTGTAATAAATTGTTAAAAAATAATTTTTTTTCTATCCAATTTTCTTGCTTTTGTATTTATTTTTCTCATACACTAATCACTTCAAGCATCATATATTATAAATTTCTGAAATCAGGACAAAGAGGAAAATCCAAATATCGAATAAAAAAAGGAGGAAGTAATTTAAAAAAAATAAAGTAATGATTAGAGGGTGCATGAAAGGGTTCATTTCCCAGCAACCTAAAAATGGTATAATGTCTCCCCCTTCAAATATTAATTGACGTGTTTTTGCGTTTTTCCTAAAATTTAGAAGTTCAAAAGTTATTTAAGGTGAATAGTTTTATCTGAAAAGCACTGTATGTCTGTTTGAACTGCATTTGAAATAGTGGACCAATATAAAACTTGGATAAAAATAAATCCATACCTGGGTATAGACATTGTATAAAGTTCAACTATCTGTCTTGCAAAAATGTTGTTTGCGTAACAATGTTGCCAATCGCCGTGTAATAATCCGATTTGCGGATCTTTTTGAGAGTTATATCTTCTTCGTATCTTTAAATAAATCGGATAATTTGCCTATATTTTTCATTGTATTTACCAATCTACTACAACAGACTAATAACAAAAATAAACTTAATGGTTTGTAGTTATTTCCTTTCTGTCCTATAAATATTTTCTGGTTAACACCTTAACAATGAGGTTGGCAACACCGCTCAAAGAAGGGCTTGTCTAAGGAAGCGATAATAGTTCAGGAAATGAAGCTCGAAAAAAGTTAAAACCTCGCAATTTTTTTGTCCTGCATGGATTGAGTTGAAATTTTAACAGAAGGTAGGTGATAGCCCAAGGATCAAAATCTATATCGAACTGAAGTGCGCTGAAGGGTTTTAGGGGTGAAAACTACCCCTAATTGTCAAAAATTATAAAATAACATATTAAACCTGAATATGGCTAAGATTTGGTTTGAATTAGTTAAATAATGATTATTTCATACTTTTGAATATAGTTCCATCATATTTCAACCCTTAAAAAGCAACCCTTGTTAGAGATTAATGTAAAAAAATTACTAATTCTAAAAAAATGATTTCGCCTTGGATCGATTTGGATAAAAATTTGGATTTAAGCTCAATTCACCCGCTGCTTTATAGTTTATGTCATGTCGACGAACCCTGATTGTTCTTAGGGGTGAAAACTACCCCTAATTTTCAAAAATTGTAAAATAACATTACAAATCTTAAGATAAGTGAAATTTGGTTTGGATTAGTTAAATAGTGACTTTTTTATACTTTAAAATACAATTTCATACATTCTCAACCCTTGTTCATCAATCGTTATGAGTGCTATAGGTGAAAACAATTTTTTGCCAAAATTTTGCAACTTTTCAACTTTTGAAAATCACCCTTTACAACATTGCAGTTTTTATAAACTAATTTAATAAATTGAAAAAAGTAGAATTAAATACAAAAAAATTTATCAACATAAAAAGGCACCATATATTCTTATACATTTACATAAATAGTTGAAAATATTTACATTTATAGGTAAAACAATTATAATATTAATTTTATTCGTCATTAATTACATCTTCATCGTGATCTATGTCATCCTTATCTTCTTCAATTATTGGTGGACTATTATTGCACCCTTCACCTGAGCACCCAGAACAAGTAAAGTTACAGTATAAACCAACTTTTCTGCACCCACATGAAACGCCGCATCCTTTTTTGTATTGGCAAAAAATAATTTTCAAAAGTTCATCGGGTGCCGGTTGTTTGTTCATGCGTACGGGTAATAACAAACCATCTTTGGAATACCATCCCCAATCTGTTGCTCTGATATTTTCATTGCCAAGCCATAGACATATGAGCAGATGTTTTATTTTGTTATATGGGATTTCAAAATAAGAACGCTTAAAATTTCGAATGTATAACGCCCCACTACTTAGTATCTAATATACCGGTTTTGTAGATTATTATGCTCTGAAATGTACTGTACTATACTAATGGAATTTTCCGGAAAAAAAATTAATTGGTTTTTTTAACGTACTTCCTTCATTTTAACGATAGAGTGTTTCTTAAAAACTATTTTGTAGAGGTTTTTAAGAGCTACAAGGATATGTGAATTAAATCTTTTTGGAACCCTTGGTTTTGAAATGGGGTGAGTTTAAAGGGCTCGAAAAAGATTGTGCTTGATCGTAAATCGATGCTTTAAACGTCTATATCTCGTAAAATATTCATTGTACAACAAATCTAAAAAAAGGAAAATTTTAGTCATTAAAAAAGCTACAATTTAGTACATTTTTTTTTATATATTCAGTATTTTCGGGGATATTTAAAAAAAGAAGGGTAAAAAATATGAAATTGTAAATCGTTTCTCGCTTTAAGCTGTACTTTTTCTAAAACTAAGCATTTTAAATGGGTCAAACTTCTTGGACGTATTAACAATACATGTACAAAGAGAATTACAGAAGGGTGAAGATCGATTTTAATTATGGGAGTGGTTAGGGGGTTGTTTTCATCGATTTTTTCGTAAAAAAATGAGGTATTGACCTTATTTTCATCATAACTCACGCAATTTTTGAGCTAGAGTCTTTTTTATGATAGGTCTATTTATGCTCTTTAAAAAAGGTTCTGTGAGTTTTGAATCTTTCAAATTTGGCATTTGAAGAAAACCGCTGAACATTGATAGGCCGTATTTCGGTTCCTATTATATCGCAAAAACATTTTAAAAAATAAATTGTATTTCTCTTTTTAAAAGCTACAAATTTGTTCTCTACAATTTTTTTGATAAAATGCACCATTTTCGAGTTATTCGCGAAAAATCGATTAAAAACGTCGATTTTTTCGTCTAAAAGTTGTTACTTTCAATCGCGAATAATTTGAAAAATATCAGTTTTACAAAAAAAAATGTATAGAACATTTTTTGTTTAGAATCACTTTTTTAATCGAAACCTGTAGTTACGTAAAAAAAAAATTCACCCCCGAGATGGGGTGGCAACCACCCCCAAGGCTTTGGCGCACTTGGGTTCAATATAGATTTTGATCCTTAGGCTATTACCTACCTTCTGTTAAAATTTCAAGTCAATCCACGCAGGACGAAAAAATTGCGAGATGAAATGCTTCATTTCCTGGAATATAAGTGGTTTGACAGCATAATAAAATCGTAGATTTATGTGTAGCTTTCAATTTTTATGATTTCAGAATCCAGCAGCCCGCTGAAGTATTGGATTTTTATAATATAATTATTTGACAACCTTTTGTTGGCTAACCACCTACAGCAGAATTGAGCCGAAATACATAATATTTCGTATGTTTCGAATTTATTTCGTTCAATATATATATATATATATATATATATATATATATTATATATATATATATATATATATATATACATTTTATTTTTATATTCTTTACAGGAAAACGTTAATATCGATCAAAGTGAACTTAACTTTGTACCAATTTATCTGGGCCGGAATAATCACTGTATTGTAACTAACTCAATTTTGACTGCCGCCTACGTAGACAAGACGCAAGGGATTTATTTCCGTATTGCTGCAAAAAATAAGAAAGGTTACGGACCCGCTACCCAGCTTAAGTACGAAAAAGGTAAGTTAATATTAAATATACCGATAATTTGTTTCTAGAAATTTTCACCCTTTTAAGACTAAAAAGAGAAATATGCCATTGATCCAAATTTGAATGACTCTTGAGTTTTAACCTTGTTTAGGCTTGCGCCTTTTCAAGGAATGGGGAACTCCTTTTTTTTCGTCAATTTTTTAACGTCAATTAAGCGAAACGCGAACTAAGAAGTAGCAAACTACTAAGGAACAGAGGGAAAAGAAGGTGGTTATTTGTGTGATCGATAAAAATCGATAGAACGCACAAGAAGAAGTTGAAATTGCCTAGCATGCAGTGTAAGGTACTTCAGGGGTTACCAGCCATACGGTAGGAACGGCTCTTTATTAGCGTTTATGGCGCGCAGTCTTTATCTGCGATAGTAGATGGGGAAAGTTTCAAGAATTTCAAAATACTCATCAGGAAGTTCAGGTCCAGCGTTGTGTAGAAATTTAGCTGGAGGGAATGGAACTTTCTTGGCAGGGTACCTGGTGAGTATTTGCCCTCTATGCGAACAAGGCGTCTTTAGTATTTGTTTTGCTCGGTTGTTCGAGCCAGCTATGGTTCTTAGGACATACTTCCTGCTGAGGGTTTGGATTCTGTCCTTAATTTTCGTGATGTTAGCCAGTGCGTATATGTGGGCTGATGGATACAACCAATCTTTTCTCATACAGTAGCGCAGAATTCTGCGCTCGGTAGCTGTGATGGCGTTAAGTTCGTGGCTCCTCAGAGAAAGGTAAACGCATGCCTTGTATTCGAGTATCGGCTTGATAAAGGTCTTGTAGGTGTGCAACAATGTATTAGAGGACGTTCCTCCTAGTTTTCCGGTTAGCACTTTCAGGATATTAAACCTCCTTCTCATCCTGTCAAGGGATTCATGTACATCAGCCTTCCAATTGAGAGTTCTCGTAAAACGAACTCCCAAGTAGAGAACTGAGTTCCTGAGAATAAGGTCCTCTCCCGAAAGTGTCACTCTGCCCTGGACGTCGCGTCCGTAAAGAGATTTGAAGACAATAGCTTGAGTTTTGGATGGGTTTAAGGTAACCCTCCATTTGTTGCACCACTTCACGACTTTATCGAGGTAGGCTTGCGATCTATCGAATACAGACCATCGTTCTCCCTCTCTGCTAGAGCCTGAGGTGAGAATGGCTGTATCATCGGCGAATAGGAGAAGAGACTCTGATCCTTGCTGTGGGCGGGGATGTCGCTGTTGTAAACTGTGTATAATATTGGAGTAAGTATTGAGCCTTGGGGTACTCCCGCTTGTGGAGTGAAGGGGGTGGAAAAGTGGTCTGCTATTTTGATCCTAACCGTCCGATGGGAGAGATAGGAATTTATTAGTTTAACGAAAGGTGTTGGCAGTGCAGCAAGGTGGAGTTTCTCGATCAAGCCTGCGTGCCAGACCTGATCGAAAGCCTTCTGGACATCGAGGAAAATGCCTACGACGTGCTTCCTTTCGTTAATGGATTGTGAAATGAAAGTTGTTGCTTCAACCAATGCATTTTGTGTGGAGTGTTCAACCCTGAATCCGAATTGGTAATTTGGAATTAAGAAGTGAGCGTCTAGGAATTCTACGAGTCTCTCCTTGAGGATCCTCTCGTAGACTTTACCTAGGGTGCTCAGTAGTGAAATGGGTCTGTACGATTCAGGGTTGGTGAGGGTTTTCCCTTTCTTTGGGATCATGACAGTGCTGGCCACCTTCCAAGGAATAGGAAAGTACCTCAGCGCAAGAGATGCATTGATTATATTGGTGAGCAACGGGATGATATGCTGTGGAAGATTTTTGAGGTATCTTCTGTGGATGCCATCTGGGCCAGGAGATGTGTTTTTTCCTATGTTACACATCTGTCTGACGGTTTCCTCAGTCACTGGTGCCATCATCGGGTGAGGATGTGGTCCATCAAGTGGCTGAGGGTAGTAGAATATATCTTCCACTCTCCGTTCGGTGGCTCTTTTGGATCTTTCGCAGAAATTGGGGTTGTTGGGTGAAACGAGGATGGCCTGCAATGTATTTTTGAAAGCTTCGGCCTTATCTTGTGGATTATTTAGTAAGACGTTATTGATTATGAGGTGAGATCGTGGCTGACTTTTTTGTTTTGTTAGTACTTTGAGTTTGTTCCAGAATGCAGAGCCATCCCGGTAGTCGAGGTCAGAAGTGACTCGCATCCACTATTTTTTGTTTCAGCTTGTTCACTTCGAGCTTTATGACCGCTGAGAGCCTGTTGTATTCTGTTTTTTTAATGAGGGGGTCTCTGAATCTTCTATACTCTCTGAGCAAATCCAAATCTGAGTGATCCAAATTTGAATGAAAATTTTTCCAAATTTTTCCCAATTTTTTTAATAAAAATGAATACAGTGAATAAGTGTGAGTTTTATTAAATAATAGTTATTTTTTATCCATATCACAATTAAACAAGACGTATTATACAGGGTAGACCAAGGAAAACTTTACACTTAGATTTTGCGAGATCAGAAATTTTTTCTCGTATTATCTTATTTTTAGTTATTTTTGACAAAAAAAAAACGATCACATAAAAACAATTTAATTTTTTTAATCATTTATCAAACAATAAACAAGTTTAAACTTTATCGAATAATGAAAGCATTAATAATCTTCATATGAAATATATAATGCATCTTCTTCTAAATTTATGTGTGTTCTTCTTCTTCTTCCAATGGCGCTACAGCCCAAATTGAGCCTTGGCCTCCTGTAACTTCTGCCTCCAACAAAGGCGATCCCGCGCCACTCGTCTCCAAGCCCTGACGTTCAGTAAGTTGTGCGCATCTGCTGTGACTTCGTTCTCCCATCTATTACGTGGTCTTCCCTTTGGTCTTCTGCCCTGCATTTTACCATCCAAGGCCTTTCTCGGCAATCTGTCGGCATCCATCCGTACCACATGACCAGCCCATCGAAGCCTTTGTACTCTAGCGAACTCTGCAATAGGTGCTTCTTTGAACAGTTGGTAGAGTTCATGGTTATATCTAGATCTCCACATCCCATTTTGAGTGATGGGTCCAAAGATCTTCCTTAGGATTTTTCTCTCGAAAACCTCTAATCTTCGTTTAGTGCTTTCTGTCAAAACCCATGTCTCGCATCCATAGCATACTATCGGTCTGATGATAGTTTTATAGACCTTAAGTTTCGATTTTCGATGTACCGTCTTGGAGCGGAATATGTTAATCAGGGAGAAATAGGCTTTATTTCCCTTCATTATTCTCTTCTGAATTTCGGCCTCTTCTGTTCCCTCCGTATTCATTTCGACTCCCAGATAAGTAAAACTCTTCACTGTTTCAATGTCATCCTCTACTTTGATTTGATTTCTTGTTCGCTTTGTCCGCGTCTGTGTTAGTATTTTTGTCTTCTGTGTATTTATTTCAAGTCCAATCTCCTTGGCCGTTTTTTTCAGCTGCGAATATGTTTCTGCTGCATCATCCACTCTGCGGGACATGAGGTTAATGTCATCCGCATATGCGGCGAGCTGGACAGATTTGTTTGTTAGGAGATTGGCTCTTCCGACATTCAGCTTTCTGATGACATATTCAAGGGCCAGATTGAACAGTGTTGGAGCTAGTCCATCACCTTGTTTCAGCCCTTGAACTATTTCGAAGCTGTCAGTTAATTCGTACTGTATGCGTACAGTTGCTATTGTGGAGTCCATCGTTGCTTTTACTAGTCGGATATATTTCGAGGGAATATTGAAGCTTTCCATGATGTTATATAACCGGCTTCTATTTATGGAGTCATAAGCCTGTTTGAAGTCGACAAATATATTGTGAACATCAATATCGTGTTCCCAAGCTTTATTAAGGATTTGCTTTACTGTAAAAAGCTGATCTATTGTCGACCTGCCTTGTCGAAAACCGGTCTGGTATTCGCCGATAATATTTTCACATAATGGTTGAAGTCGCCTATTCAGGATGGATGTAAAAATTTTGTAGGCCGAACATAGGAGGGTTATGCCGCGGTAATTTTCGCATTTAAGTTTGTCCCCTTTTTTGTAGATTGGGCAGATAATCCCATTTTTCCAATCGCTAGGAATTTTTTCTTCCCTCCATACCTTAGATATGAGCGCGTGCACCTGCGTTGTTAGATGTTCGCCACCTAATTTATACAGTTCGGAAGGGACATCGTCAAATCCCGGCGCTTTGTTGTTTCTTTGCGCCTGTATTGCTTGTTTGACTTCTTTAAGAGTCGGGCTGCTTATTTCTTCGTCTCCTTCCTCGATGTGCCGCGTATCCGAAGATCGTGAGCTTCCTTGTGCTCCTAGCAGAGCTTGGAAATGGCTTTTCCAAACTGATTTTATTTGCGTTGGTTCACTAATTATCTTATCTGTTTGGTTTCTGCACAGACTTGTTCGGGGTTTGTATCCTTCTCTTAGTTGTCGAAGATATTTATATGCCTCCCTTAGATCGTTGCTTTGGAGGTTTTGTTCCATTTTCTGTATCTTATTATTTTCCCATTTTCTTTTTTCTCCTCGACATATTTTATCCGCCCTGCGTCGTAGCTCCTCGAAAAATGTTCTTCTTTCTCTGGTTCGCCTTTCCATATATTTCTTGTGAGCTTCATTTCGTTCGTGTATGGCCCGTCTACACTCTTCGTTGAACCATTCTGCCCTTTGCTTCTTTACCTTTTTACCGATGGTCTTTGTTGCTGCATTTAATACTTTTGTCTTCATTTGTTTCCAATGTTCTTCAATGTCTAGGTTATCTGTGTTTGTAAGTGTCTGGGTTATTTCTGTCTCGTAGCTCAGTTTAACGTTTTGTTGGCTTAGTTTATCAATGTCCAACTGCTCTTTTATCTGTTCTTTCTTATCTCTGTTTCTTGAGATCCTGCATCTATATTTTGCTTGTACCAGCAAGTGATCAGATCCACAGCATGCTCCTCTTCGACTTTTTACATCTAGGATGTTGGTGGCAGCTCTTTTGTCTATTAAGACATGGTCAATTTGGTTAGTAACCGCTCCACCTGGCATGATCCACGTTGCTTTGTGTACATCCCGATGAGCAAAGAACGTAGAGCTCACGATCATGTTTTTCCTGCTGGCAAAATTAATTAGGAATTCCCCGTTCTCGTTGGTGTTTTGATGGAGTGAGTGTTTGCCGATTATTCCTGCGAACTGTTCTTCTTTGCCTATTTGGGCGTTCATGTCACCCAATATTATCTTGATGTCATTTTTTGGGGCATTGTCGTATATTTCTTCTAATTGATCGTAGAACTCCTCTTTTATTGTTATGTCGTGTTCTTCTGTTGGACTATGGGCATTAATGATTGTGAGGTTAAAAAATTTTGTTTTTAGCCTCAATCTACATAATCTCTCATTTATTGCTTCGAAATCTAAGATATTGTTTTTGATGTTCTTATCTACTACGAAAGCCACTCCAAATTCTTTCTTTCCATTTTCTTTGCCGCTATAGAGTATTGTGTGCGTTTTTGTGTCTTTTATTCCATTGCCTAGCCATTTTGTTTCTTGTATTGCGGCTAATTGTATCTTATATTTTTTAAGTTCGTTAAGCAGCGATGTTTGGGCTCCTGGTTTATTTAGGGTTAAGACGTTCCATGTTCCAAATGAGTAGTCCATATTTCTTTGCTTGAGTCGTCGTCGATAAGACCGTCCTATCCGAGGCTTTTGTATAGGTTTCATAGTTGGGGTTTGTTCTACAGTAATGGGTGACTAGCCCATTGCCCAACCTTCCTCCTTTATCCGGGCTTAGGACCGGCTGTGACACTGTGATTTCCCACGGTATCCCAGGCGGAGTTTGTGAAATTTATGTGTGTTACAACGTTGAAAACAAAACTTGTCCAAAAATTAAAATTTTGGCAAATCCATAAAAACCGCCCATCTTCAATTTATTTTAAATCTTGCTTTTAGTAAGATATATTTTAAACAAAAATTGGTAGAAACTTAGCAAAATATATTGGAAAATTAACATATATAATATCATCGTAGAAATAACAAAAGATTATATGATGTCTATTCTCCACCACTGCTATTATGAAAGCTAAATAGTTCTACGACTGGAGTATGATAATTCCTTTCCCCGGATTCTGATTCTAGATTAAGATAAAATTCTTTAAGATTATTCTTGAGATATTCAGTTAACTCCATTAGATCGGGAAACTTTGGTTGTCTTATTTTATTTTTCGCTTTATTTGGTAACCAGAGTTATTCGTTTTGTTATTGTTTTTCCAGTAATGGTGTGGAACGTCCATGGGCCGTGATAACTTTGACGTATTAAAACTTGTCGAGGATACTTCTGAGATATTCGGTACATTCTTACGGGTTTTAATAAAATTTTTGGTTTTGGATTCTTTACAAGTAAATCCTTATTAGCATTAACCACTTTAAATGGAGAGGGTTTAGACCTTGACTGCCGAATAAGATCATCCAATTCTTCTGAAACATTAACAACTACTTTTTTTGCACGAGAAATGAGACTAAGGTCACTATCACAAGGTAGGTGTGAATGTCCTCATATTGGGTATATGTGTGTTATCTCTGATAGTAATTTCAGTAAATGCGCCAGGATATATGAAAAACGGTATGTAGTTTTTGTTCTGACCCGGGCAACCATCAGAGAAAAACCATATTTCATTCATTTTACCGAGTATATGATCTCTTAGATAATAACATATCATGGAAGTCACTTCATCTTAACCACGTTTAGCCATTCCTTCGTGATAGGTACACATATGGACATAATTGCCTCCGATATATTGTACAACATGCGTTTTGGCGTTAATGCTGGACATTTCTCTAATATATGTTTGCTTGTTAATTTTTCATCACAGTTGTCACATCTTGGTTCTTGTTTATTGGAGAACACGTAGCTATTAGTTAATCGCGTATGACCCAGTCGGAGTCGCGTTAATATTACCTGGTCTTTCCGACTTATTGGTAATGTGGGCCAGGGTTTTATCGATTTTTTACCATCGCGTAGCTTGGCCGATGACACTTTCCACATATATCGCACTTTAAATTTAACTGCCGCTTTCACGTCCGCACTCGTAAATGTTTTAGTACACTCCGCACTATCACTACTTGCAGCTTCTTTTGCAGCATTGTCTGCCTCTTCATTTCCTGGAATTCCAATATGAGATGGTATCCAGAATAATATAATATTTTTCCATTCAGTTGAGCCGTATGGATTTCTTCTTTTATCTTTATGACTAAAGGATTAGTTGGGTAGACATATTGGATTGACTGTACGGAACTTAGAGAGTCTGTGTGTAGAATATAATTGGTATTATTGGATGAGTTGACAGCAAGAGTGGTCTGATATAGAGCTTATATTTCAGCAGAGTAAATGGAGTACTATGAAGGAGTTTGTATTTATTTGTCGATGTTGGGGTTATGATTGGAGCATCAGTACCTTCATTTGATTTAGATGCGTCTGTGTATATATGTGTATACTCCTTGTAATTGTGAAGTATATCGTTAGAAGCGGATTTGATTAACTGTGGGTTTATTGAATGTTTGTCGAAAGAAATTAAGCGGGTTAGGCACTGAGGTTTCTTTATTTGCCATGGAGGAGTTGAGGATGACTGGGAGGAAAAGCATTCTGGGAACGTGTAGTTTAGTTAATTTAAATAGCTTCTAATTCTTGCGTAGAAAGGTTTGGCAGTTCTTGACTTATTTATGAAGAGATTTGGGAACTTCACAATAAATACTTTCGATTGGTGTTGTGCGAAAAGCTCCAGATATTATAAGTAAAGATAGGTTGTGAAAACTGTCAAGTTTTTTAGCAGTATCTTATTGGCTGTAGAGTACACAGTAGACCCATAATCTAATTTTGATCTGATTCATGTTTGTATAACATTAAAAGTGTTTGGCGATCCGCACCCCATTCTTTGTTGGCCACAGTTTTTAGACGATTTAATCGCTTGCGAAAAAATAAGATCAAATTTGTTATATGAATTTTCCAGCTTAGAGTTTCTTCAAATGTCATGCCCAAGAATTTTATTGACGTTACACGTTTTAGGTTCTCATCACATAGTCTTAGGTTGGGGAGTGTTTGTGACCTTTTTCTTAGAAGAAACAGAAACCTGGTTTTTGTGACCAGAGTTCTAAGTGTTGTATAAAGTTCTGTGTGTAACAAAATATATTTTGTATATTTTTACCTTTGCAAAAAACTACAAGATCATTTATTTTACATGAAAAAATACCAATGAATCTTGTGACAAAAAATCCTGAAGTTGGCGTTATCATAATTAATTAATATGGATTCAGGTATTGAGTATTTGTCGTCTAAAACTATAAACGTGGCTGAATTCCGGCAAACCGGCACTTATCTTGAGAAATGACGATGGAGACATGGTTTTAAGGCCCAATTTTTTAATTTCTTGAGTTAGTAAAGCATGCGAAATGGTGGGACAAAGGTTCGACAGAATTAGTCTTTCTACTGGAGTGGCTAGTTTGCGTGCTTGGACTTGTTGGTTATTGATTTCTATAAACCCTCCGTAATTATTCACAAAATGTTCAACAATGTTTTTGTTTGCAAGGTACATATACACTCTGTTGTTAGAAAGTCGTGAGGAAAATAGAATATTTTTGGGCTCGATCAACATTCCTAGTGGAATCAGGTAACCTTGAAGTTTTATGTTTTCAATCGCTGGGAATACAATAGCTTGATCTTTGGTAGGAAATTGTTGTTCAATCACAGCAGAAGAATAAGTTTTAATATTGTTTTCCTTTTAGGAGCTTCTATAGTCAGAAGTCCCGTCAGTTGGATTTAACATGTTTTCTTTTTTATTTTATTAATTTAAAATTAATTTAGACCTGAAATACGGACGTGTTTTAGAACAGACAACTTTATCATGTCGTTATGGATAACGAATAAACTTGTTTTAGAGTTTTTGTATCAAGCCGACTTATGATAAGTACAATAAATTCCTGTGAAATGACTCTATTTTATATAATTTGTAAGAGTTCTTACAAGATAGAAGAGAACCCACTCTTATGCACATATATGGATAAAATAAAAAATTTTAATCAATAACTACTATCTAAATAACTGTTTTTGTTTGGAGCTGACAAATTCGAACTAATTAGTATACCTGTCAGGACCGAACTCCCCGACATAAGAATTACTTTTTCCAGGGCCACTTAGATTACAATATCAATTTTTCTTTGGTAGTTTTTGATTGAATAATTTTTTTTTTTCAGGTGGATTGTTGTACAAGCCAAGGAGTGCTCATAGAAGTACCTAAATTTCATATAAACTAGTATTAAGTAAAATTAGTTTTTGCTGTTCAGTATTAAATAAGACTTCCGATATATCTCTATTAAATGTATGTTTTGTTTGTGATATTTTAGCTTAGTTTATAAAGAAGTTTAAGTAAATATTTTAGTACAAATAATTTAAAAGATATATAGTTCACACAGTAATATAAAAGTTCCTATGTTTCTATTAAATATGTGGTTTGTTATATTTTTGATATTTAATATGAAAATATATTTTCTTTTGAAAGTGGAGACTTTGAGGAGTCTTCAACAATACTAAAGTTATAAAAATAAAGCTGCCTTAAATAATATGCACTTTGATCAGGAACTTTGAGGAGGACCAAATTTTTTTGGCAGTGACTAGGTCTTCCCATTTTCCTGAAGAAATTGGAAAAATGCTTTCGCTCGAAGCTTTTCGAGCTCGAATGCTTTTCTTGTATTTACTGCTTTCACTTAACTCTAAATTTTATGTTTGTAAAACTATTTTTGTACTATAAATTAAAAAAATTGTGTTTTATTTCTTATTTTTCAATAAATAGAACTCGATTTGAAGATAAAAAACAAAAGACCTGATGATTAGGAGAAAAATAGGCAGAATTAAAGATGAAGATCAAAGCAAAAGTGACAAAAATTAGATCATGAAGGTAATACACAAATAGCATATAAAATGATACTGAAAAAAAGAAATAACAAAGAAACATAAATTGCAGACTATTAATTCTTAAATAGACAGGTGCACTTTTACATTAGGGGAAGGAGTTGTACCTTGGGTATGCGTGTACCTTAGTCCACTTGCTAATACTACTACAAAGAAAGGGTTTAACGGTTACGGGCAATAGCTAACTGTTCCCACCAGTCATAGAGGGCAATAAAGTGCTATTTGAACGTTATGAATGAATATTTGGATGGCCAGTGTTGTTTAGGTTTATTTTGGTGTAGCTGTGTAAAAATTTAGTTTATTTTAAATCTGCAATCATCATATCTAATGGTAAGTAATTTGTATTCAATTTTATTCCTAATTATAAATTGTAGATTACATTTTTATTTGCCATAAATAGTGACGACGAAAACGAACTAACATATTTACGTCAGTATAAAAACACCGATAAGTTCTTCAATGATGCAACTACAAACTTTAATTCTCTCGAAGAAGATGTAATTGCAATATTACCCCCTCCAATTTACGTTAGTGGAACAGTTCGTCAAGCTCAAATGTTGAGATTTGTAATAAGTTTTGGACAATATGACGTTGAATGACCACAAATATGTTTAATTTTGCTTTTTTTCTTTATAAAAATAATTTTAAGAGTTTCGTTTGAATAAAATTTAGATCTGAAAGAAGCAGTTTATTTATGTTTGTCGAAAATGTTAACCCTATTTATTATTTTCATTTTTATGCATTTTAAGTTGTGATATAACTATCTTTTTACATAATTTTGGTAACTGAATTAATGTTCCAAGGTACAATACTAGGAGGTCCAAGGTACTTGTACCTCGGTCCATTCTACACCAAATTAAAAATAATTAAATTTATGTCTTAAACATATTTCTTTAAACCCTTTAAATGCATTGGTGCTTAAGAAACATATTGCGAATTTGCTATGTTAAATCCCAACTCAATACGTTAATTAGAAAAATAGTTAAACTAGTTAGAAGGTCGATTTTGTGACGTTATTATAAATATATTATATAAATAAAGTTTTTTTATAAATGAAAGGAATTCTGCCATATTTCTGTTCTGCAAAATGATTTATTACCTCGTCTATAAAAGCGTTATCATCCTATGATTTTATAAATAAAAACCTACCCAACCTATCCTGTTAGACATACATAACTCTATCTGGTCTTCTCAAATATTTCCTACTCAATGGAACACATCCGTAATTATACCAGTCCTACAACATAGCCAAATACCAACCTTGGCACAGTCCTATATACCGATTTCTCTCACTTTCACCATGTGCAAATTAATGGAGATCATAAACAGGCGTCTTTTATAGTTTATTGAAAAACACCAAATTTTACCTAAGAAGTGATTACCAGCAACTTTAATATTGAAGCTGCTTTCGATAAAATACCTTCTTCTCATTCTTCCTCTTTATAAGCAATTCTGCGTGTTCATTGGCGGATTAATACCTATATGGGTCGTCCGATACCTTATCTCTTGCTATTTTGACGACACGGGTCTCCTCTATCTTGCTTATGTAGTTATTCCATTCTTTTTTTCTATTTTGTGTCCATTCATTTATACACTGTACATTAAATTTTCTTCACTTTATTCACTCATTAATGTCTTCACTTCTCTTTCGATCTCTCAGCATATTTCATGTAATTATTCTCAGTATTCTCATCTCCGCCGTTTCCAATAGCCTTTGTGTTGCTGCTGTGTCGGATATTGTTTCTGAGGCATATGTCATTATTGGTCCTACAATGGCTTTATAAATTCTTGACTTCATCTCAGTGTTAATGTGTCTGTTTCGCCAGCTAGTGTTATTAAGGCATCCTGTCAGTCTATTTGCTTTTTGTAATTGATCTTTCACTTCTTTGTCCAGGTCTCCATAGCTATAGTGTATTTTTATGTATGAGAGAGTAATAAAACAATAAATTATGTATGCAAATCCCTAAACTGTTGATACGGGTGACTCAATGAAAAACAGATATTTGTCAACAAGTTTACAGAAGTATATAGGAAAACAATTTTAAATTGAGTATGACCACCAGGTATAAAGGTTGGAGCAGAATAGAATACAATAGTTGTGAGGGTTACTAATCCCTAAATAAGGTTGCCAGTGTCGGAGTGATGGAGGTTAACAGGTACTAATGAATTTGCAAGAAATGTAAGATGTTTATTATATATATATATATATATATATATATATATATATATATATATATATATATATATATATATATAACCAATAAAAGTTTAATAAGTACCTACCTATTTGCAAAATAAAGTTTAATTCTTTAGATAAAATAAAACGTTTTATTTTATCTGAAATGAGTGCATTCCACGACGTAAGGGTTTCAACAATCAAACATTTAATTCTTTAATTCCAGGAATCTACGACAGTAATTGACTAGATAATTACCTTCTAAACTTATTCCACAGAAAATGTGATAGTGGGTTTTTCCATTTTGTAGGAAGGTCCAAGTGGCGTATTCAAAATTCTTAACAGTTCACTAAAAGTAGGTACTTCAGTTGCAAGGTGCAGTTTATTGTGTATACTAGTGTTATGGAAAATTTGGAAGTGCCGTGTAAACGCCGAAAAATTGGTCCTTTAACAGTTAATGAAAAAACATTAATATTTAATTGTTTTAAATCATTTACAGACAAACGTTTATGTGAAAGTGTTGATGAGACCGTTGAGTTAGTTAGCAGTACACTTGGTGTTGGGAAATCTACGATTTACAGAGTTATTAAAGAAGAGAAATGTGGTAGTTTTCAAATGCCACGTAATGCTCCAGGGAAACCAAAATTTCAAATAGAATATCATTTTAAAGAAAGACTTCGACAGAAAGTGCATGAATTCTTCTTTAGACAAGAATTTCCAACATTGGATAAAGTTCTTGTCTCAGTTCGAGATGATAAGGATTACCCAGAAATAAGTCGAAGTACGTTATGGATATTGTCATATGGAGAAGACATTTTCTAAGAACCATAAAGGAAATGAGAAACCAAAAAAGAAAAATATTTTATCTTGATGAAACATGGATCAACGAGGGTCATACACCAAATAAATTTTGGCAGGATGAAACTGTCACAGGCACGCTTTTGTAAATAACTTATCTACTGGTTTAAACCCACCATCAGGAAAGGGACGCAGGCTGATAATAGTACACATTGGCAGTTCAGACGGTTTTGTTAAAGGTGGTTTATTAACTTTTGAATCAACTCGTACCGGTGATTACCATGAAGACATGAACGCTGATGTCTTTCAAGAATGGTTCGAACAAATGATAGATCTTCTTCCTAAGAACTGTGTAATAGTAATGGATAATGCAAGTTATCACTCCAGACTTATAGAAGGACTGCCCACAACCAAGTGGTTAAAAAAAGACTTGCAGAATTGGCTGAGTTCAAAAAATATTACGTACCATTCCGGATCTATAAGAAAGGAACTTCATTCGTTGTGTGCCCTTCATAAAGAAAAATTTAAAAAATACGAAATTGATGAAATTGCCAAAAATCGTGGAATGACAGTACCTACTTAGATCCCCACCATATCATTGTGAATTAAACCCAATTGAACTGGTATGGGCACAGATAAAGAGTGAAGTTTCAAGAAAAAATACCACTTTTAAAATTCATGATGTTAAACAGTTGTTTTTGGAGGCCGTAATAATGTAAAACCTGAAAACTGGGAAAAGGCAGTAAATCACACTATTAAAGAAGAGGAAAAAATGTGGAAGCTGGACAATAATACTGATAAAATGATCGAGCCAGTTATTATAAATCTTGGTTCTGAAAGTTCATCTTCTGAATCTGATTTGGATTTGTAACAAGTAGCTGTAAGTTTTATATTAATATTTTTATTCATCTATTTAACATACTAGACGGTTTTAAAAACTCTTTTTCTCTTTTGTAATTTTTAAATATTAAAAAAAATGTGAATTTTTTAAAACCTTTTTTAATGTAGGCCAGTCAGTTCTAATATATTGTGTGATAAAAGAGGTCACTTTTGTTTACATACACATAACACTTTATAACACTGAAATAATTCATTTATTTTTTACAATTATTCAAAGTAATTTTTCAATTAATCTTGAGCACGCCCATGGAGTGGTCGGAGGTACCAGTTAAAATTATGCTTATTACTCTCTCGTTCATAAAAATAAACTATAGGACGTTCTTCTATGTTACAAGCTCCTCGCTCTGACTCATCGGAAAACCAGAATTCAGCACTGTTCAAAATATCTTCTAGTTTTCTTTCGGTTAGCGCTTTATTGGGTCTTTTATTGGCCATTGTGCCTGAAAAAAATTAAAAATTTAATTATTTTAATTTATATAAGGATTTAATACGTTTTAACCCATTTTTGGCTCGGATTCATATTTTTTAACAGGTAAAAATAATTGTTACAATTATTATTAGCTATTGGTGTATCTGGCAAATAAATATGTTCAAAAACGTGTATCTCAATGCTGAAGTTGTTAACAAATTCTGAGCATTCAATCTATCAAAAATTACTTTCAAATGAATTCTACCTTAAAGAACAATTTTTTTAAAAATAGCCCCAACTAATTTCTAAACTTTATTTCACAGTAAAAATCCGGACGATACACCATGTTGCTCTTTCGCCGACGATATAAAATACTATATTACATATGTCTATATAAATATTATACATAATATATAAATGTATAACATAAAACAAAAAAAAGTTTTATATAAAACTCAAATTTATTTTACAGATTTATTTTTGTTCACTGTATTGTTTATTAATTTTTTCAATCAAAATAATATATCACCTATACTTCAATAAATTCGACATAGTTCAATAAAAACTATATTAAT